ATATAATTTTTTTCGAAGATGGCCCCCGAGTAAGCAGCCGTCGGCAAGTGATCTTCAAGAGACTTGTGCTTGTTATTGTTTGTTTGTTTTTTTGTTTTGTTTTTTTGTTGTTTTTGTCTTGTGTTTTGTCACATAGTGTTGTTGTTACGTCGTGTGGACCTGATGTGGACTGTTCTCAGCATTTTTAGCCACGCCATTCGTCAAAGAAGAAGACTCTGTGCTTGATGTTTGCGCCTTCTCGGCAGCACGTGCGTACCAGCACTGATTTTGATTGGGAGGAATGTCGGCGCCATTTGACTGTCATTGCTGGACAGCCCCCGGGTGCTTGTGTCTTGCGCCTGTCATGGGCATCATTTTCACAGCCCCGCTTTGTTCAGCGGAAAGGTTGGTGCTGATGAACAGTCTGCGGCTGGATGGATGGATGGCTTGTGGAGCCGACGATGAGAAGAAAGGAGCGTCAGCGAAGAGTGCCGATGCGGATGTGGAACTGGGAGTCGCGGCTTGGATTTGAAGTGGATTTACATGGGACAGGAGAAGAGAGCCAATCTCTTTTTCGTTAATGGATGCAACAGCTTCTTGTTGCTTTCAAACTTAGTTTGTAGTAGACGTGTGCACATTTCAGCATGGCGTCTTTGATCCACTGGTGAAAAGGACACTTTGATTCGCTCCTCTTTCATCTATAACTGTTTCAAACAACAAAGTGTATGCAGGAAAGTGGTTAAGATTGCACAATTGTCTGTGTCTTATGTGTTTTCTTGTATTATTTTGCCATTTTATGTTAACTTTTCTTTTGATGGCAGCGCGGGCTCTTCTTGTCTGCTGTCTGGTTGAGAGGGAAGAAATTTCATCTGTGCTGTATGTTTTACATACAGTGCATTTGACAATAAAGTTGTACTTGACTTGACTTATTGCTGGCATCCAAAGACATTGTGGTAACCTAATGGAAAGCCAAAGTCAGAAAGCATTTTAGTGTTAATGTTACTGAAAAAAGTTACAAATATCGCTGTTACCATTTTTTTGCATAATTTCACTGAATAGTTTTTTGTAAAACAACCTCTCTCTGTCTCTCTCTTTCCATCTCTCTCTCTCTCTCTTTCTCTCTATCTTTCCATCTCTCTCTCTGTCTCTCTCTCTCTCTCTTTCTCTTTCCATCTCTCTCTCTCTCATACTATCTAAAAATAACAAATACTCTTATCAGATTCTGTAAACAGTGTCGTAAAATCAATAACAGGAGTAGATTTAAAACTTTTGACCCGGCCCTCCACAATATTTTCTGCTTCTCATTTGGCCCCCAGGGAAAAATAATTGCCCACCCTTGCTGTAATTGAACACGAATGAAAGTCTGCTGTCCTACCAAGACTGACCTGAGAGAGGCACACATCTCATTAACTACTTGAAAGTGCCTCTCAAAAAAATCCCTTCAATCCCTTTTGATAAGACGACGAGAGTGGGGAAATTATTCACTCATTACAGGTTGCACAGGTTCAATCTCGATGTCTTCCATCCGAATGTCCACTGAAAACTCTTGATGAAGCATCATGTTTTATACAGTATTGTCAGCATGAGCTCTTTCATGTCAATTTACACCATCATTGTTGGTGGTTTTTAAATGTGTAAAATTATTTGACTTAAAAAAGAGAATCTACATAGTTTATTATGACTGGTGACCAGAAAGACACAGCCATTTGTCTGGTTTTAGCCGTTTCTTATGTGAATGTAAACTAGTGTTGCATTGGAATTTGAACCCTTCTCATCCTCCTCTTTCTCTCTCTCGCTCTCTCTCTCTCGCTCTCTTTCCACTCTTATTCTGAGCAATCAAACAGAGCAGAAAAGTCACTTCTTTTCTTGAATATGAACAGAGGCTCAATGCTAAACTTGGCCAATGACATCTGACGATGAATATACTATAGCTCCAATTAAAAAACAAAACTTTATTAAGCGTGGCCCAGGTAAAACGTGTGACCTGGTGACTAGGAAGAGATTTGCACTCTGCTACCATAAAACATTCATAAGTCAGGCAGAGAACAGGGTGACATTGCTGGAATGGATGATCCTGTGCCAGATTTAATTTGTGCAAGTGCACAGAAGTGTACATGTGTGCATGTTGTACAGACAGTGTGAAGGCCCATTACTTATACGGTGTGGCCATAACATAAATCACAGCAGACAGGCACAAGGAGGTATGTCACGCCTCTTTGGCAACACCACCATACACGTCCACATACCCGTTTTACTTTTTTTTTTTTTTTTATGCCAATGAGCTTACTTGTACTTTAACAAATAACTGTTGGCTTAATGGGAGCATGGATTCACACTTATAGAGATGAATAGTCCTGTTGTTCTGTATAAGTGTCTGATGTGTGACAAGTTGTAAATACAAGTAAACAGTTGTTCTGTTGCAACATTAATGTAGCTAACATGCAGAGTGGTACTGAGACCAACTGTTTTATTTTGCTCCATGACCAGGCTTAGAAGTCAAATGACTTCAATATCAAAATATTTTCTCTGTTTCCCTCTTGCTTGGATGGAAATGCCATTTATCAGTTCCAGCCGCTGAAAAACACCACAATTTTTTGTTACGCTATGGATAAAGAAAAACAGCATGTTATTACACAATATATAATTCTAATATACAATATTAGTTTAAATATTAAAACTTCAACAGGCATAATGAAATCCAACATAAAGAAATAAACTTACTGAAATTGTGTAATGAAGCGCTAAGACTCTTAGCATTCATTCACACTCTCAGAGTGTAGTATACATTCAAATGCTAATGTATCTATAAGGGCAACAGTTTAGTGCAGGGGTACCCAATACGCCGATCGCGATCGACCGGTAGCTCGCGGACTGGTCCCAGTCGATCGTGAGGGGTATAGAGAGGGAACCCCCCCCCCCCCCCCCCCAAAATTATTCACTCATTACAGGTTGCACAGGTTCAATCTCGATGTCTTCCATCCGAATGTCCACTGAAAACTCTTGATGAAGCATCATGTTTTATACAGTATTGTCAGCATGAGCTCTTTCATGTCAATTTACACCATCATTGTTGGTGGTTTTTAAATGTGTAAAATTATTTGACTTAAAAAAGAGAATCTACATAGTTTATTATGACTGGTGACCAGAAAGACACAGCCATTTGTCTGGTTTTAGCCGTTTCTTATGTGAATGTAAACTAGTGTTGCATTGGAATTTGAACCCTTCTCATCCTCCTCTTTCTCTCTCTCGCTCTCTCTCTCTCGCTCTCTTTCCACTCTTATTCTGAGCAATCAAACAGAGCAGAAAAGTCACTTCTTTTCTTGAATATGAACAGAGGCTCAATGCTAAACTTGGCCAATGACATCTGACGATGAATATACTATAGCTCCAATTAAAAAACAAAACTTTATTAAGCGTGGCCCAGGTAAAACGTGTGACCTGGTGACTAGGAAGAGATTTGCACTCTGCTACCATAAAACATTCATAAGTCAGGCAGAGAACAGGGTGACATTGCTGGAATGGATGATCCTGTGCCAGATTTAATTTGTGCAAGTGCACAGAAGTGTACATGTGTGCATGTTGTACAGACAGTGTGAAGGCCCATTACTTATACGGTGTGGCCATAACATAAATCACAGCAGACAGGCACAAGGAGGTATGTCACGCCTCTTTGGCAACACCACCATACACGTCCACATACCCGTTTTACTTTTTTTTTTTTTTTTATGCCAATGAGCTTACTTTTACTTTAACAAATAACTGTTGGCTTAATGGGAGCATGGATTCACACTTATAGAGATGAATAGTCCTGTTGTTCTGTATAAGTGTCTGATGTGTGACAAGTTGTAAATACAAGTAAACAGTTGTTCTGTTGCAACATTAATGTAGCTAACATGCAGAGTGGTACTGAGACCAACTGTTTTATTTTGCTCCATGACCAGGCTTAGAAGTCAAATGACTTCAATATCAAAATATTTTCTCTGTTTCCCTCTTGCTTGGATGGAAATGCCATTTATCAGTTCCAGCCGCTGAAAAACACCACAATTTTTTGTTACGCTATGGATAAAGAAAAACAGCATGTTATTACACAATATATAATTCTAATATACAATATTAGTTTAAATATTAAAACTTCAACAGGCATAATGAAATCCAACATAAAGAAATAAACTTACTGAAATTGTGTAATGAAGCGCTAAGACTCTTAGCATTCATTCACACTCTCAGAGTGTAGTATACATTCAAATGCTAATGTATCCATAAGGGCAACAGTTTAGTGCAGGGGTACCCAATACGCCGATCGCGATCGACCGGTAGCTCGCGGACTGGTCCCAGTCGATCGTGAGGGGTATAGAGAGGGAACCCCACCCCACCCCCCCCCAAAAAGATTTGTGTGCCTGTGTGTGTGTTATTAATATGATATATTTTTATTTGATTTAACTGCAGCATTTGATACAGTGGATCACAGTATTCTGTTGACTCGTTTGCAGCACTTGTGGGCATTGGAGGTCACGCCCTTGAGTGGTTTAGGTCCTATTTATCTGACAGAACCTTTTGTGTTAGCCTTGGCTGCTCTGAGTCCCGTACTGCCCCACTGTCATGTGGTGTTCCACAGGGGTCAATTCTGGGGGCTCTGCTGTTCTCATTGTATCTGCTCCCATTGGGTTCCATCTTAAGGAAACATGGTATTTCCTTCCACTGCTCTGCGTATGACTGTCAGATCTATGTCCCACTGAGCAGAAAAGACGCTTTCTCATTAAGACCAGTTTTATCCTGGATGGCACTAAATTTCTTGAATTTCAATGAAAAGAAGACAAAAGTTATAATGTTTGGACCTAGTGGCCCGTGTATATCCCACCC